TCAGAGGCAGGAGTGAAAGGGCTTGTGTGGGCAAGCAACAGTTATTACTGCCCAAACACAAACCAGGTTCAACCATCACATTCAGAAAAGAATCTTTCCAATGCAAGGGAGGGAGAAGAAAGGTTCAGTGAAGAGCAGTGCAACCACTAGAAATGCTCAGAAAGAAATGGATTTGAACTGAATTAAGGTCAGCAGAAGGGGCAAGAAAAGGACTGCAACCTCATCCAAAAAGCATTCAGATATTAGAAGGATTATGCTAAATATCTCTAGAGACACTAAGTGACATAAAGTACGTATTAAGAAAATTCCATTCAATGAATTACACTGCAAATCATTATGAATATTCAATTTCAATCAAACTGAAATGAAAGAGAGTATTCAGGGACTCTGGATTTGAATCTTAAAAGACAATTAAAAGGAAAGAAAAAGAACTAAATGAGAGAGATAATAAATTTGATCTTATAAAAATATTAAGTAAGCTTTTCATGTATGATATGGAAAAAAATTAGACAACAAGCTTTTAAGCATCTTATTATAACTAAAATATGATCCCTCAAGCCTTGCTATTTATTCTGGGGACAGAGAGCTGTCTGTTCACCTTGAGCTGTTCAGGATCATTTATAAGAGAACTAGATATGCTCAAATGGTAGAATGATGGCAGGAAAAGACAGAGTAATGTGCTTCAATTTGTGGCACATTTTTTAGTGTGCTAGCATTGAACAAATAATGAGAAGAGGAATAAGGTGTATCTGTACTCAGGGCAGAGACAAGTCTGTTCAGATCAGTGGGGATAAGAGAGCTGAATATCATAACATTGCTATTGCAGCATATAACTATTAAGAAAAAACCCTCTAAAATGAAAATCACTAATAATGTTTTGAAAATTTATTTAAAAATTATTTAAACATGGATATTTTCCTAATCAGGTCATTGTATTTGTTAATATAGTTTTGCAGAATTTTAACCCATTTTCATTTATGTTGGCTATATGAAATACATATTCTATGCAGTAAAATGTGGATGTTTGACTTTGCTTTCTTTAGCAGGCTGATAATTTTGATTAAGTTTGTGAAACATCTAACTGAAGGATTATTCTGCCTGATAAGCAAATATTTCTTGTGTGTTCTTCTCTCTTTGATTTCTCATATCTTCAATCTTAAAGGCATCTTTCAGGGAGAAGAAGATGCTCAGGACCATAAAAAGTAAGAAATATTATTTCATTACATGCAAATATGTGGTCTTTTCCTTAATTTCTGGTCATTTCGGGTTTTAGATATTCATAAAGAGATGTGGTTGTATGCGAAGATCTTTTTAGTGATAACAGCACAAAAACAGCAAAATAATCTTTGCTCAGCTTTTTAATAAAGCTACAAGCAAACAGTGTGGCTTTATCTGTGCAATCTCCCCCACCAAAGACACACACACAAAATTAAAAAAAAGAAAACCCAAAAATATAGCCTACAGCTTCCAAATTATATAAAATTCTTGGAAAATTGCTGTCAAGTCTATGAAATACACATTAAGATACTGCAAAATATTTGGTGCTGTGTTTCTGGATATTAAAAAATAATCTATATACAGAAATGTAATTTAAAAACTAATTATTTTGCCACAAAAAGAAACCAAACACATCCCTGAAAACTACTTTAGATACTATTTTCAAGCTAATCAGTGTGTGGACCATTCGTATATCAGAGTTGATTTAATTTATGTGTTCAAAACTAAGAGACTACACTGACACCTTTAACAATAGAAAACAAATCCTGCAAAAGGATTTTCCTATGTTATTTTACTTTGGATCAAGGCAGTGTATGCCCCTCTCTTGAAGGTACTGGAAGATAATGTCACTGTGGACAGATGCCATACCCCCCATGTCACATCAAAACACACACACACACACACACAGAGAGATATTTTAATTTGTAGCTCACATCCACTGGAATATTCAGTAGAGGATGCCCACTGATCAGGACTGTGTAAGGGATACAAATCTAATTTTTTTACCCACTACTGACAATCACTAACTTCACATCTTTGTCCATGAAACCCTTGTTTAAAACTTTGCTGCAAATACCAGTTTTCCATTACTTAAATACAGAAAGCAATAGAATAAAGAAAATATGCACATTCTGTCTTTGTCTTCATTAACCAAAACTTTTAACACACTTCAGTCTCTTTTCACTATTTTTAATTCTTTTTAGCATAGTGGGCCTTTTCCCTACCTCCCCCTGCTCCTCTTGCCTGCAATCCAAGAATTTCTGAAACTCTCCTGAGCTTCTTGACAAGAAAGCAAGTATGACACATTGCAGGATTTGCAGTGTCTGCTGCAGGATGAAAGACACACAGTAGAAAAGAGGCACAGTGTAGAACTACCAGCAAAGCATTAAAAAAATCAGGATTTGCAGTGTCTGCTGCAGGATGAAAGACACACAGTAGAAGTAGAACTACCAGCAAAGCATTAAAAAAAAATCAGATTTTGCTTTTCATAGCAGATATTTTACAAGTACTGGGTTGCAAGTTGTTGTGTAGTTGTGACGACTAACACCACAAAATTAACTATGTATTAACACCTGACTTTATGTTAGTCAGTTAGAAGCATCTGACTTTTATCCTTGCATCCTTGTAGAGTCTCATTTTTTCCCTTGAAAGACATACTATTTTTTCCCCATCCTATATTAGTTTTTATGTAGTGTTCTGTGACACTGAAGTAAACAGAACAGAAGGCTTAAGTGGCAATAAAATGTAGATTTTTGATGCTGAATACAATGAAGATTTAAGAAAATATGCAGATATTTTCAACAGTTACTAAGTAGAGGAACGTGGAAGAATATCAAATTATCTGGATGCATTAATCTGAGAGTGATTTAAAGGCCTGCTTGGGATTGACACCTCACCTAATGGTACAATCACATTTTAATATGTATTATATTTGTAGGAACAAATGGTTCACATCTTTCAGCATCTTCAGCTGTTCCTAAGAACTTGATGGGCCATGTGGCTTTGGAAACCCATGTAAGCACAGCCTCAGCTTGTACATCCAGACCTGAGGGCACAGAAGGTCTGAGGAAACCCACCCTGAGTTCCTCTGGTGTATATTATGCAGCTTCTGGTATGATGGCATCTGTGTATGAGGCGTCTGTGCCTGCCTCATTTTGTTCTCATTAACTTGAATTCACTTTGCACTTCAAACATTTGACATCTGCTTCCCCCCTTCTTAACATTTTTTTCTTTGAAAAATATTACAGAAGTCACTCCATGTCTTTTTTAAGCTATAATGCAATTTAAAAGAGAAATGGTTGTGATCTGGCTTTAGACAATGCAGGATCTGTTATAGGTCTAAACTAAATATTCTTCCTTTACCTTGTTAAAGCAAATCAAGCAATGACCAAAACACATACTTTCCTGATTGAAGTGCATGTGCTTTACCTTTTGCTTCAATTTTACTTGTACTCCATTTAAATTTGATCTCTCATCAGCCTCTCAGATTTCTTTATAGCTTGTGTTGTTACTGTAGTTGTGCAATAAGAGACAAACAAAAAAAATTCCTATGCATAAAAAGATTTAAGAATAACACAGTAAAATCATGACAAGAGAAATTGTTCAAGGTAGTGAACACACCAATGAGATTTTCAGTGTCTTATAAAATCTGGTGTACTAACTTCAAAAAATTGGTACATATTGGATATGCCTCATGTATGACTCTAGAGCAGATGGGAGAGGAATACCTGGAAATGAATTACTTGTATGAACAGTTTCTAGGAAACTCATTAAATTGATTACGCAACGTAATATTTTTCCATTCTTATTATTATGATCTTAATTATTTTAAATTTTCTGGGTTAAACTACAAAGTTCAAGCATTCACTAGTTCAGCTGATTCAGGGGACCCACCAAGATGCTTCTTTAAACTTTCTATGGGCTGACTTGGTCTGGCTTCTCCTCTTTGTGCCTTTTACAGAAACCAATGGCTTTCTTGTGCTAGAGATCATGCAAAATAACAAGAAGAATCTGCAGGATTCTCCTTTTCTTTCTAAGACCTTGTACTTTCTGTCAGCAGTCTGTATCAGTCAGAAATGTACCACAGATTGTAACAGGAAGAAAAGTAGAGTTTCCTTCATGCTATTGTGTGAACTGTGCAAAGCTGACAGTTCCTTTTTCAGTTTTAATTACAGAGAAAGTAATTACCTGCATTGTATGCATTAAGTAAAATAGTCACAACTTTTAAATTAATTTTTAACATCTCACAACTCTATTGGAAAGGCTTGCATGTATAATTATATCAATTAAAAATATGGAATACACTTGAATGAAGTGCAATAATTTGACCAAAGACACAAACAAATCCATTGTTTGACTTGTATCTGCTAATACAGACAGGTCCATAATGACTGCAACACAGAGGCAGTAATTAGGAGAAAGGCAGTGAATTAATTGAACCAGGAAGATTATTGATATCCCTGGGAATGTCTTGTGCTTCAGTCAACCCTGACTGACTCTCAGATTAGAAGTTCTTGCTTCATGTCTGGCAATTCCTAGGTTTGTTGAAATAGTAAATGTTGGAATACACTTTTCTTTCTTTTTTTTTTTTTTAATAGTGGGGAAGTATGAACAGCTTTTCCAAGTCAGAACAGTGATGTTCATATCATTAAAATTTCATGAGTTATGACTTCCCTTGGTTTTGTTTGAGTTATGAAAAAGCAGTATCTTTTATTGCATTCCTCTGCTTAATTACTGACAGTTTCTCTGGGGAGTTCCAGTAACATTTGCCTTATATTTCTAACACACTTTCATCACAAGGTCTTCTACTTGCTTGCAGAGATGCAAGAACTACAAAACCATCACACCAGAGACTATAAGAGGAAGAAATCAATGGAAATCCAGTCTTTTAGGCTCTGCTGCTCTGATCATTAATCACCCTCCCTTACGCTGTGAGAAAAAAAAATAGTTCTCAATTTAATTTTAGTGCTGAATGCTAAAGAGGCATTAAGAAATGCACTTACTTCTCTCTGTTGAATATGATGAATTCTTTCCTAACGGTTTCCAAGCACTGCTGCAGGTGTACGTTCTTTAAAAAACAGCATGAATAGGTTGATTAAAAAAGATGAGAAATCATAGACAAAAATCACAACAACACAAACAGTGAACAAAATGCTTATGAATGAATGCTATCAAGAGGCATTTCGAAGACTCGTTAAATTGGGCTGTGATGGCACAATCAATCTCATTATTTTGGAAGAAGTTCCTCACAAAGAATTCCTGAGGATTTTTACATCTGATAGCTCTAGGAAGAACAGCTTGCATGAACATTCAAAATCATTAGGAGTAGCAGTATAATTTATAAAACCCCACTGGAATGATAATTCAAGTCTGGAAATTATTATTAATATTATTGGTACTCTTGACTGCTCATACAATGCATCTTTCTACATGGCACACATTAGTCAAGAGTGGAAGAGACAGCTTTAACATATTTATAAATAACAAGTCTTTTGATTGCATACTTTTCATTTTGGGTAGTAGTAGCAAATAAATACTCTTTGTAACTATTTGTCCATGTGTGGGAAGTGTTTTTCTCAACTGGCAACAGTTTTTCATGCTTTAAATGAGCATCTGTGATAACCGTAAAAATTATTATAGCTTAAAGATGTTGTTACTATTTGACTGAAATAAATTATTGCTTTTCATCTTGCTTTGGAGGTGATTTCGGCAATGTATAAAATGACAGACAGAGAGGCTGAGTCTATTTTCAGTGGTGATAAAGCTGCACATAAGTGAGTTTGCCTATTAGAGTGTAAACAAAATGCCACTGAGTGCAGTCACAGTCCCCATCTTACCAGTGGGCAGGTTTCCTTAGCTCCATCTTTGGATTTGTTTTTGGCAAGTCGCTTTTTCTTTTTATGGAGAGGCTTGGACTCCAAAATCATTTCTTCAAGTTCAAATGTGGGATCACAGTTCAGTCTTCCTTTCTGGTACAAAAGGATTCAAAGTTACTCTTTGAAGCATCATTGTATTTTTTTAATTTGTTTGGCAAGTGTTAACAGCAGTAATAATGAACCAGCTCCTCAATCATATCTGTAAAATGAAAACTGTCCTTTTAGGCCTAAAGTGATGCTCAAAGTTTAAATAAGGGAGATAAGATAAAAATCATATTAAAAAGCAATTATAAAGAGTTAGATCTTCTTCCTGGTTATAAACAGATATACAAGAGTGACAAAAGTTATGTTTTCCCAGTGAGAGAGATTAATCTGGCCCAGGGTCTTCATCAGAATATCAGTTAGTGCTGTAGAGTAATAGTCACACCAGTAATAGTGCAGAAGAGCTGGGGAGTACCTCTATGACCTTGCTGAAATTTGATTTGCTGAAGTGTTGCAGTGGATTAATTTACTTAGATGCTGTCCATGAGAACAAAGGAAGGAGCAGGCCTATTCAGGTCAGCAGCATTTATATTTAAAAGGGTTCACAGTATTATAGAATCCCAGGTTGGAAAGGATCTCAAGGATATTCTGGCCAAAACCACAGTCCCTAATGGCCCAGCAACCTGTCCAGCTGAATCTTAAAACAGTCCACTTTTAGAGAATCCACCATTTTCATGGGCAGATTATTGAAATAGCAATTGATGTTGCAAAAAGTTTTGCTCTTGTGTCTAACTGGAATCTTACCAAGAGTTACTGGTACCCAATACCCCTTGTCCTTTCCATGTGATTCCCTGTAAAAAGGGAGTCTCCATCTTGGTGGCTAACCTTTAGGTAGTGGGACATGGTGATGAGGTCTCTCCTAATCCTTCTTTTCTCAAGGCTCTGCAAGCCAAATTCTCTCAGCCTTTCCTCTTATGGCCTACTTCCTACTCCTCTGATCATCTCTGTGGCCCTTCTCTGGACCCTCTCCAGCCTGTCCACATCTTTTTTGTGTAGTGGGGACCAAAACTGAACACAGTATTTCAGGTGTGGCCTGGCAAGTGCTGAGTGGAACAATGACTTCTTTATCTCCATTGGTGGTGCACTTGTTGATGCAACTCAACATCCCTTTGGCTTTCTTTGCCATGGCAGCACCCTGGTCACTCACATTGATCTTGGTGTCCACCTGCACCTCTAGAGATGTTGGAGCTGTTCTTCATCTGGATAGATCCCACCCTGTGCTACACCCCTGGACTGTATTTTCCCAGGTTTAAGCCCTAACCCTTGAACTTCATAAAGTTCTTGTTAGCCCACTCCTACAAGGGTCTTCCTGCAGGGTAGTTCTCCAAGGTGTCACTTTTCCACTCAGCTTGGTATCATCAATGGACTTCCTCATGGTTCTTTGTTCCCATGACCCACATCATTTGTTAGGGTATTAAGTAGTGTTGGACCCAATATTGATCCCTGGGGGACCTCACTTGTGACAGGCCCCAGTCTGAGGAGGAGCCTTTTCCACCTTCCCCCAGGTGCAGCCCATCAGCCAGCTCCCCACCCATCACATGGATCACTTTTCTATACCATAGCACTTAAATTTCTCACAAAGGAGACAGTGGGAAACTGTTTCAAAAGCCTTAGAGAAATCCAGGTAAACAATGAGAACCTCTTGCCCCATATCAGCTGAGCAGGTTACCTTGTCATTGAACATGATAAGGTTTGGAAAGTCCCATTTGTCCTTGGAGAATCATTGCTGGCTTTTTCCAATCAGGTGGTTCATTCTAATATATTATTCTTTTTCTATTCTATCCATTTTATTAAGGTTTTCCTTACCCATTACACATATTCCTTAAATTGCTTTTGGATTCTTCATTAAAAAAATGTTATGCCAATTTCTGGTGCTTGAATCAAATTTTAAGATTCTTTGTTAGTTCACTTGTTTAGTGAAGGACCAGGAAATCCTTCACTAAAAATTTGCAAACCATTTGAATTGGATGTTAAAAGCAACCTGTTTTCCTCTGGGGCTTCTGAGAGTTCAATCACACCATTGTCACTGTCAAGGTGGAAGTGCTAAAATAAGTCATATATAAATGACAGATATTTATAGTAAGCAAAGACACTAAGCAGCAAAATCACATCAGAAACTACTTGTATAATTTGTGATGTCCTTCAATGAAACATTTGGTTTAGAGATCACTCCATCATTTTTATTCCTAGTAAATTCTGTATAGTCAGAGCATAATGTTTAGATATCTGATGCCTTTTCCTGCATATTATCCAGCCAGCTTTAGCTTTTTTTTTGTTTGTTTGTTTTTTTTTGTTTTTTTGTTTTTTTACTGACACTTCACAGCTTATTTATATTTATTAAAAAATAAATAACATCTTAGGTTTCATCAATATCAGTTCCTCCCTTGAGCATCCATAGATTTTGGAATTGATTGGGTACTTAAAAAATATATCACTTTCATTCTGAAGCTTTAAACATAAAAGCAAATTGTATTTTACAAAACCCTACAACAATTTATGACTCCAAGCTGAAAATGAAGAAACTAACCAAGCTATAAAGAAACACATGTGCTAGTTAAGTAAGAACTATGGTTATGGAATCAAATTAAGCTGTTAGAAATTAAGCTATGGGACATTGCTCCCATGGGCCTCCTGTGTGCCCTCCTAGCTCTAGAAGGCAGACAAGCTCCTGATAGTGAAAGCAAGCTGTCAGAATTTATAAAACTCTGGTTTCAAAACACAGCTCACAGGCGCCCCAATTCACCTTCTCACCAAAGGCTGAAAAATGTTGTGTGGCCTCAATTAATCCATGAAAGTTTTGCGCTACAAAGAGAAAGTTCCTGGAAAATGTGTGACCAAACTTGGTCTCATGAAACAGCAAAGTTTCTATAAAAAGAAATGTTGGGCTAGAAGAGAATTTTGGTTCTCACCTCACTGTTTTTCCTGACACACTTGATCGACCAGGTGGAACAAGCTTTGCAATATCAGACTCTTCATGGAAGAGTCTGGTAGAGCTCGTAATGGGACTTTCAGATTAATCTCAAAGAGCAACTCTTAACTTGAAAAAAGGAAAAGAAGAAAGTCAGTCTTCGCTCATCTTGTAGATCTACACGCCAGGAGAGCTTTGCAATATCAGACTCTTCATGGAAGAGTCTGGTAGAGCTCGTAATGGGACTTTCAGATTAATCTGGACAGATAAATGAAACATTTTATTCCTATTTCCTATTAAATGTAGAATATTATTTTGCTTCACATATTACAGACTTCCTGTTCAGTTTTATAGATGCTGCCAAAACACAAATAAAATTAAACCAATGAGAAAAGAAAAGCTGCCTTTGCAGAGTCTGGGGCTCCTGGAACCCCACCTATATTGTATCTTTGGGCATGGGGCACCCAAAGATACCTAGTATCTCCCTTAGGAAATACTATGTTGTGATGTTTTCCACATGCTGACAGTTGTGGATTAAACTTTTAGCTGGTAGTAGGAAGTGTAAATAATTGAGTTTTGTGTAAATAATTTGAGTGTTTGAGTTTTGCCTGAGAAGCGAGTCCACACCTCTGATATCTCAAAGAGCAACTCTTAACTTGAAAAAAGGAAAAGAAAAAAGTCAGTCTTCGCTCATCTTGTAGATCCACATGCCAGGAACATGGAGTGCAGCAGGCCAGGAAGGAGCTTTGTTCTGCATTGCTTTGCTTAGGACAGCGACCTGAGGGTGTAAAAGAGGATCCTGGCATGGCACAGCAATTATTCCAGCTGCACGGACATCAGGTAAGAGTGAAAGAGTTATAGCCTGGTAGACGTGACGTCTCCAACTTCTCTCTTGCACTAGGATTGAGCTAGGAATGGATGACCAGGAATGAATGACATTCACCTCTCCAACTTCTCTCTTGCACAAGGATTGAGCTACAAAGTGAAGGGAAGGAATTTCCCCACAGATGAACATTTCGCCGGAGTGCCTGTAAGAGGGGCCTGATGTTTCCTTCTCCTGCTGTGCTTGGTCTTTCTCCCAGTTCCCTGAGGGAGACCCTTCTTGCCCCCCCTCAGCTGTCTTCTCCTGCAGGATGTTGCTTCCAGAGAGGCTCTGCTCAGGTGCCAAGGAGCCCAGCAATCACGGAGAGGATTTTCTTGGCAACACACCCGGCTACCTTTGCTCCGTTAGGGAATGCTCTCTCACCTTCAGCTGCTGAAGGGCTGCATCCTGTCCCCATCATGTTTATCATGAACTCTGATGTGCACCTGGATGAAGACAGGGTCCACCTGTTCCACCTTCCTCATCTTTATTTACAGTTGCATAATTTTAAAAAACCCAGAAACAAACCTTGGTATGCTACAAATATGTTGTTTGGACAATAATTATAGTGCAACATGGCTGAAAAAAGTGAAGCAGCATATCAACACCACAGCCATTGCTTTTTATTCATGGCCCTGAAATACATTTAACTTGAAAAAGAGCAAAAAGGAAATATTCCAATGAAAAATACCAACAAAATGGGACCACAGTAAAAAAGAAACCACCAGATTCCCTCACAGAATTGGAATGTTTTATTGTAAGAAACCGCCACCAGGGAAATAGGTCAGCCTTTTGGAACATTACTTTTTAAGTGAAAAAGTAAGAGCATACTGGGATGTTAAAAAGTTTTCCAAATGTTATTCAAATGTCTAACTTTCACAGCCACAACAGCCTTGGTATTCTTTGTCACAGAGTTAACTCTGACAATCATTTGCTCTAAAAGCTGAAATGCAAAGTCTGGAAAAGGTTTTCTTTTATTTGAAAAGGAATGAAAAGTGAACCAAGGTTAAATAGTTTTTGTTTTTATCTATTGAAATGGGACTAATTTTCCCTTAGCTGTGACTGAGTAAATGAAAGTAAAATCCAAAGTAAATCACTGAAGAGCAATAAATACAAGCATAAACAAGTAAAAAGGCAATGATAATTAAAGTCAGAATTTACAAACAGTGTTCACCTGGAATATTGACTTACGTTAGGAACAAAGCCTGGGGTCACAGCTTTCTCTAGAACAGCATCCCAGTTGACATCAGCTAGGTATGGAGAGTTCTGGATGTCTGCAAGGCTTGAAAGGCGACACTCTGGGTCCTTAATGAGGAGCTGTGATCAAGCACAAGGCATTTTCTAAGAAGCTGGATGCCATAAAGAACAGTAAATGTATCACATACATAAATTGTATGATATATATTTTTAAGTAAGAAAATGGCTAGGGAATCTTCTAACAGATGCTAGAAGTCCAAATTTTAAAAAAGAAAAATTAAAAGTAATAAGTCATAGGATATGAGTACAGTTTAATTGCCACCAGATGGCTGTTGCAGGCATGAAGTGTATAAATGTATTAGCAACAAAAGTCTGCTTACAAATACACAAGAGCCCATGCAAAATGAAACATCACAGATCAGTGCCACCCAACAATTTGTATTTTCTCCTTAATTTCTTGGAAAATACAGTTACACTGAGAATCCTGGCAGCAATTAAAACTATCCACCTCACTGCACTCTCTACTCAAGACTACGTTGCTAATTGCTGCTAAAGATGTGTATTTTTTATTACTCTATTCAGACATTCACAAATATTTCCTGTTCAAGTATCAATACTGATAATCTGAAATACCTAAAAGAGAGAGATTATCTTTGTTGTGTAGGCAGAGAGTTAAAGCAAACAAAAAACTGGGATTTTAGGAAGAAAACAATTTTTAGTGTTGGATGCACTCAGAAAGAACCCTGCCTTGTGGCTTAGTGATGTTTACAGCAAAGTGGCTCAACTTTTGTTGTTGCAACTACAGCAACATGGGACAGGAAGAAAATCAGCCATTTTAATTTGTAATCTCCCTGTCTAGAAACTACAGCAGAAATTCAGAGGGCAGAGTGGTCCTTCCATCCCTGTCCCACTTACATATCCATAGCTGGGGAGAAATGAGGCTAGGACACAAACGAAGAATTACTGATCCCCAAACTTTTATTATCACTAGTGAATCAACTTTAAATTAAAAGAAATTCAAAATTTTTACTTCTTTGAAGCCATGAAAAGCCTGAGTCCAAGAATACTGCACCTTCTGAAGAGAAAATACTGCACCACTCACATTCAGAACAGCCTAAAAATAAGCTCTGTTCTCGTACCCTTGAGATGTTGACTGCCTAATGTGTGTGTTTGTCTGATGCCTTTTCCAGTGTTGGAGAGGCTTCTGGAAGAGGAGAGAACAGGGGACAGAAGGTATTTGTGCTTTCTTACCTTTTTCAGTAGTGCTATCATGCCCTTGCACCATGCGGATGAGTAGTGAACTCGTTCGATCTTGAACATGTTGAGTATCTCATCGATGGGGGTGGCTGAGTGAATTTCATAGGGCCTCTGGGATAAAGTTAAACCAACAGCAAGTCAGAAAGAATGGATAAGAGAGTGCAGACTAGTCACATTTTCCTGAGCTCAGTATTGTTTGTCTTGAAAATATAAATACCACGAAAACATTGTATAAAAATTTTAAGTCTAATCCTTTGTGTGTGTGCTTTTATTCGGTTGTAATGAATGTAATTACTCATGGATGCATTTCCTCTGCAAGTTTTTCTCATTTTTCTCTTATGAAAGGAAGTATCAGTTCAAATGAGATGCATAAATAATTTTGTTCCTGGGGCATTCCATGTGAAATGTGGATTGTTTACTACTTTTTGCTTGTAATTCTAGTGATCAGTTCTTGCAACCTAAACCAACAAAATTGTAAAGAGGTGGCTGAAAGGAGCTTTGTCATCCTAATCTTACTGAGTAGTAAATAAAGAAATTAAAAAATGCTTAGAAAAGTTTGTGTGAGAATCACAGTAAAAAAGGACTCCAAATCCCAATCCTTCACCTTTGCTTTTTTTTAAAATCCAAAATTAACACACAACATGGATCTGCTGTCATGAGTTTGCAGCGCCTAATTCTTCTACAGATGAAGAAAATCTCTGGTCTTTGCAGTACTTTGTTCATTAAGTTTTCTCTGATTTATCTTTTATTACAGGCAGAATTTGGAAATAAAACTACTACATATAAATTTATATTCTTGTTATTTTCTGTGCACATACTTGTGTGTTTGAAGCAAGTTTTTGTAATTATACTTAATGTATTTTAGTAAACAAGTGCAGAGAGTGGATTGCTAGTGAATTAAGCTGTACCCAGCAGGTGATAAATATGTGATATGAGATCTGCAGCTAAATGCCATCCTGGCAGCAGTGTGCAAATTAATGCATCATAATTCATAAACAACCTAGAGTTACCTATTAATCCAATATCCTGAACAGCAAAGGGCAGACGCTCATTACCTTGACTAAGAAATGAATCATCCCTTTGCTAGTATGTACTGGTAGAGGATTATAATTTAAGAATATTTCTAGGTGTTATTTATCTAATCTGTTAAAGAATTGAACATATTCTTATTCTGGGACAATTCATACATATATTTAACTTTCATATGTATGAAACCAAGTGCATTCCAAGGCACTGGGTTGCTCTAAAAATAAATTCAAGGATGGTCTAAATCTTTTTGCTTTGATTCACATTGTTAGACCATCATCATTTAGCTATACCATGTCTATATGAATTCCACAGGACCTAAATGTCTGCTTTAAGTACATAATTTTCCTGAACTGCGTTCAAAATTGTCATTAGAAATAGTCTGTCATATGCTTTCCCTTACATGTGGTAATGTTGCTATAAAATAGTTATTTAAAATGAAACTTTTATGTGCTTTCTGTCACCTAGAAGCAACTTACTGCTGACTTAACTTGATATAACAATGTGATCAATAGGATCATTGAGACAGACTGTACATCAGTTGTTGAAAATGGCAATTAACTCCAAAATTAGCAACTATAAGGAATTATGAATCATCAAAAGTTTTTCTCTTAAGGATGTTTCTACCCATACCTTTTTCCTGACAGGAAAATCCCTAAAATTTGCCTTATTTTCAAGATTATTGGCATTCTAAAATCTTGATTTTTTTGAGATTCGCAGAGATTTTAAATATTTTTATTAGTTAAATTGATCTATAAATGGCCATTATAGCTTTGGTCTTTTGAGGCCCTTCATACCTCTATCTCCCCAGTTTTTCAGCTATTCAACCCACTCAAGGATCAAAGTTTGTTGTTGATTGTTCACATTGCAATGAATGTGAGAATCTGGGAATCCCACCTACTACTCATTCCTTCACTTTGTCTCTACTGAATTCATGGTATATACATTTATTGCAGCATTTTAGCAGTTGTCTATAGCTCAGGAGCAGACTGACACATGGCATGGTTTGTATCATACAATAATTACCCAATTACAGTTTAATTTCATGGACTTTGTGAAAACATCAATATTTGATGCAAAGCTGTATGAATTTTTTTTTCTTCCTAGCTTTTTTACCAGCAGCTGGATAAGGAGAAAAACGTACCCATAACTTATTAGGAAATGTTAGCTGTACAATGGGTAACCAAAAAAATGGTGCAGAAAACTCTGTACTGGACACAACATGCTCCTGTACCTACTGGTCCATTTCAAGAAGAGCATGCTTTTGGCTGCCCAGCAGTGGGAGGCCAGAAATGAGAATGGCTGAAACGCCTTGATAACCATGAGCAGCAGAGGCAAATAAAAACAAAAATTCAGCTGAATGAAAAACAACTCATTTTTACTCATTCTTCTTTTACTTATCACCTCTTGAATTCAGGCTGTCAGCATCGTACAGTATGCACTGCTCCGAGGTGGAAAATCAAATTTGTGATCTTTCTTATTTCTAATGCTCCTTCCTTTCTTGGCTCCTGCCTTTCCCATGCAGCATGCACCAGTCCCATCTGCAGAAATCCCTGTGTCCAGTGGCTCTGCTCCGTGCCACAGCCTCCTCTTTGCCAGGCTGCTGCTGCTGGGGCGGGTGGGCTGCTCCGAGAGCCTGCCCCTGTTCCTGGTGGCAGTGGGGCTGTTTTCTCTGCTGGACAGAGCTGTGGGAACCTGGAGGAGCAGGGGCTGCCTGCCTGCAGGTTTAGCTCACAGCCTTGTGTGCAAACTGTGCCTCCACAGCCATCTGCTGCTGTGGCAGATGGGGCTCTGGAGCTCACAGTTGTTGAGATGGCAACGTGCCTGAGGTTAGACACATCTCCTCAACCCACTGCTACTTCTCTCGTCATCACCTGTGTCAGTTTAGGCCTTGTTTAGACTACAAAAATTTAGATAATACACACCTTTTCCTTGTCCATCGGGTGGTGTGAGCTGCTAAGCCATCCTCTTGGTCAGTAACCAAGAGCTGCTCTTCAGGAGAAAACAAGCAGCTGGCTTGGGTGACTTGAGCAGGTTCAGATGGCAATGTTTTTATTTAAAAAAAAACCCCAAACCTAACAAAAAATTGATTCAGTCTCAACTTTGCTTTGTTTGTAGCCAGATTAACTTATTCAAGAAAGACTGTATGAATCTCAGCAAATGGATATCATCCTATATAATTTTTCATTTTTAAAGTGAATTGTTGCATCAAAGTGATCTTTTGTGATTAGTTTTGGGAGTTCAGCTTTCATTAACAATCATTCATTGCTCTCCTTTCTTGGAGACAGTCACTGGTGAAAGGGTTGATTTAAACCATCAGAATGTCCTCTTAATTTACTCTAAGTGCAGCTAGAACTACTGTCTGTGACCAGGACAGAGGATGCATTGTGCTTATCACCAGACTTTAACTCCTCCATTCCAGGAATAATGTGAGTCTAAAAACTCCCTAAGGTTTGAGAATTATGGTACAGAAAAATTGATAATATTTGTTAGTTTTTGTTTTTGTTAAGAAAGGTGTTTAACACTCCTCTATTTTGAGAGATGAAACAGTCTTTGCATGGGAGAGATCTTTGTCTCAGGAGCATGACTTTTGTTATTCCTATGGAAATACAAAATAGATAGGCCAAATTTTAGGCCTTTGAAAAAAGTAGCTTCTGCAGTAACAATACACAAACATTCTGAAATTAAATTTTCCATTTAAAAGTAAGAATAATAATTATTTCTTATTTCTCTTTTCCTTTATCTGTTATGCTATGTGAAATTGTGAGATCTTTGTGGGATGGATTGTCTGGCAAGACAAGGTAGCCAAACTGTGTTAGTGTCATAATATAAAAAACCATACTGCAATGCAATAAAATCCACTTTCCAAAACAGACATGAAAAATAATTTTAAAAACCCCAAACAGCTGCTTTAGCTACATCATCATCCTGAAATAGTATCTAAATTACTGTTTTCTGCGGGGAATACTAAATGTTTAAGCAACTGACTGAAATCCTTTGAACCAAAACAGAAAAGAATTTTCTATTATCTCCTGTGATATTCTACCCAGGAAGACTTTTCATTAAGCTTATTCACATAATTGATTAGATAAGAAACAAATGCACTGGCAGATAAGCATTTTATGCAGTTGGGCCAAGCATCTTAGGATATTACATTAGATCTCTTATGGTATTAGCCAAGAGAATTAAAGAGAAAATAGAGTGTGAACTAACTCAATTCTATTTTAAAAAACATACCATTGTTTGCAATTCAGCATTATAAAGAAGCTGTTAAACATTAGGCCTTTTCTTAGCCAAACTGAGGCAAGTTTCCATAATGTATTTGAGTATGGGGTGAGACTTTCCCAAGAGTGTTTTCAGCGGGGAAAGAACCAGGACAACATTCCTGACCTGGGCCTTGTACATTCAAATTTTATCCTGAAGAGTGCATTCAGGGGCACTGCAAACTTGAGATTTTTGTTAGAAACAACAAACTCCATCATTCTTACCCAACCCCTCAGTAATTCATAGGCTGTAATTCCTAGAGACCACCAGTCTACTGGGTACGAGTATCCTGGACCTCCATCCATAAAAGCCTGGAACACTTCTGGAGCTAAAATTGTAAACCAAATGGAAGAAAAAAGCATTTCATTAAGGTTAGACTATGGTATTATTTCACAGCTGAGAAATTAATTAGGACTCAACAAACTGGAATTAAATAGATTTAGAAGCACAGAATTTTCAGGGTGTAGTTTTGGTGCCTTTTTTACTGATAACAAGCAACCTTCACCAAGCAGGGTATTTCAAAAATCAGTAATTTCATATGTTAATTCTTACTTGGTTCATGTAAGTTTTAAGTTATGTGAATAAGTAATAGGAGGGGGAATCTTGGTCTGAACTGTGACTTAGAACATTTAGGGTAATGTAAACATTTTATGAGAGAAATATCTGCAAGTGAGGTGATTCTTCGTGATTGATGAAGGTGTTGAATATGGTAAATCTCACCCTTATTCTACATTTGGATAGAACTAATCAGACAGGGTTTAAAGGTATTCAACATAGGAAAATGGTACTTAAATCGAAACCCTGACACTGATTTTATGAAGTGAGAAACTGTCACAACTGGAAGAAAACACTCTGTCAATGAAGTATTGACTTCCATAAAAGTAACTTCTGTGGATGAAAAGAAAAACAAGGATCCACTTAACCTGTACTAAATAATGTTACTATCATTTCTTCAGAAAACCAGATATAAATGAGTGGATTGAAATGAAATGAAATGAAATGAAATGAAATGAAATGAAATGAAATGAAATGAAGTGAAATGCAATGAGAAGTTGGTCATGTTTTTCTAATGATTTAACAGCAGAATCTCAGTACACTTTGTTAAAACAACATTTTCACTGGAGATTTTCTGAACAGCACTGTCCCCAGCTGTAACATCATGCTGTTACAATTACATGTGAGCCTCTTCTGGCCATGATACTGAGTCTAATGCACCACATTACCACTTATTACCATGCCCTCACTGTGTGATGTGCACACTGCAGTGAGTGATGCAGTCTGGTCACACTTCTGACTGGCACTTTGGGATTTGACTATTCATGGCATTTAGAGAAGCATCTTTAATAAATGGAAAGGCAATCCTTTTAGAGGAGTTTTTGCAGTCCTTGCACTATGGATGGCAATCTAATAATTTACAACTCCAGACCTGACTTCAGAAAGTCTTCAAGAGCCAAATATAATAGATTTCAGCATCCATTTATCAGTTATGACAAAACTCTAATCTGTAGAATAAAAACAGTGAATGTATGAAAGTGGTCTTATACTCTTTGACCATGTCTAAACATGTTTGGTATGAGATCTGCAGGCACCTAAACAAACTTTTTTTATGGAATGCATGTGTTTGGAGAATAGGTGACCAGTGGATCTCTGGCAGAGGAAAACTTGCGCTGTGACCCAGAATGACATAAATCAACAATGCCATAAGAGTCATTACACTGAGTTAACTCCTTCTCACCTCCAGATGACATAGCTTGCCTTGGCATCCTATATCTTCATGAGTGCTTTAACTCTTATTTGTGTGCTGCTGGTGTGTAGGCACATCTTACAGGTGTGCAGTCTATCAGATAGGTGGTGAGAGCATAAGCAGGATTATTTTTATTACTTTAGTGGATCAATGCACTTAAATTGCACATCAGGCTCCAAACTTACATTTTGAATATCACCGCAGGAACTTTGTAGTGAAGGTTGACTTCACTTGCTTGACTTAGCCCCATTTGTTATGGTTTTTGCCCACTGTGCCTAGATGATGTACAATATCTCATTACAGAAAATAGCCTTTTGGCATTTTTACTGAACTATGCAGGTATAATGCTGGTTTCACTATTTCTTTTATGGCTTTAACATTTTAATAACGAGGCAGATCACTATCTGATTTCTGTGAGATAGAGGTGAAATTACTTTATTGATGTAACCTATGACATTTCCAGAATGGTGCAGCTGTTTTGCTAATTTACTGACTGACCTATTGACTTTTATTTCATTTTATTGTTCTAAAATCCTCAAGGTCAACTCATCCTACATTAAGCAGATCAGCAGAAAATGCTTTATTTTGCCCTGGAGTTTTCCAGCTGTTTTCTCACCTTATGCCAATGGCATTCTGAGGACAGAATATGAGCAGCTAAGGTACCCATTTTTAAAGCCCCTTTTGGCCCACTTTAAGAGCATTATTTTCAGTCCAGCTGGAATGCCTCTCTGCATTCCATAAGCTCCAGTGAAGTGGTTGTAAACACTCTCTTCCCATGGTGGGGGGACTGGCAGAGGGTACAATATGATTTGCAGCACCCTATATACAGGTTTTTTCTCAGGGTGAAATCTCAACCATGTTGAAGCCAAAAGACCTTACTCTAGGTTGATACTCATTTCACACTAAGCTTGTGCTTAGTGTGTCTTAAAAGTCTTTTTGAATTGAGACATTAGGTGCAAATGGAGGGTTCCAAGCTGTGTGTAGACTTCTGAAGTTTGCCTGCTCATTCAGAAACAGAGCAGGCAAACTTTCTTACAGAAAGACAGCAGACTGTCCAAGTCATGGAATTAACCAAGCTCTGAAGAACTATAGCTGTGAAATACAGCATATAATATTAGGTTTTGCTGTAAGAAATAACTATGCCTGGAGAACTAATTCAGAGTGCAAATTGGTTAGGATAAAAGCAAATAAAAACTCTGAAAGATTAAATTCTGCATTGATTTTCTTTAACACTCTTACTTAAATATCTGTAATCTTTTAACATTTGAACTTGATCCCACGATCAGCTTGGACAGCCATCCTGCAGCCTGCTCTGGGTAGATTCTTCCAAAGGATGATCAGATTTGCATTTGCCAGCTTGGAGCAAAGGCAACAGTTCTGTTGTGTGCACCTGCTGTGAACATATCCCCTCTTGCCATAACAGACTTAGGACGAGAAGAATATTTCATATTTTACCCCCATGCATCTACACAGGCAGAAGTATTCTGCCTTCAAGAGTTTGTGTGAACAAGAGAGTACCTGCAAGAACAAGAGTTTCATATTTTCCCTTTAGAAGTTTCTACCGAACAAAGGCTTTTCATGAAAATAAATTGTTTTAATATTGGGTTTGATCCTGCAGTTTGTTTTGGCCAAGAGCTGTAGTTACATTCACATGCACTTAGGGGAAAGGCAGTAGATGTTTGCATGGCAGAAGCTTTTAAGCAGTGAGGATAAATCAAGTAACAGCAAATCTAGCAGCAAGAGTGAATTCAAAGAAAAGCAGAGAAATGTTGGTAGATCTTACCAGTCCTCACAGCTCCCCAACTCAATATCTTTGATGTGGTGGGGAACTGCATATTCCTAGAGCTTCCTGAGGAATGACTCAAGAGCAGGAGCCTGGTCCAGCCCCACTGCTCACCCTGCTTTGAGCAGAGCTGGAGCAGAGGCTCCTGGGTTCCTGCTATCGCAATCCTGTGATCCTCATGAAGCTCAAGCAGAGAGCTCCTCACAGCACATCTGAGTGGGGTGACAGAGGCCAGAAAGCCTCAACGGGATCTTTACAACTGCTTCCTCTGGGAAGTCATCATGAACTGCTTTGGCTCTTCACCCTGCCCAGGTGCTCAGACCTTGGAAAACCTGTCACCCAAGGTACCGGGAACTTTAAAGTCTAGAACTCAGAAGCAACGTGGTCTTTTTGTTTGGGTTATTGCTTTTCATGCTTTGCAAAGTGTGATCTGGCACCTTTCATGCAACTTTTTGAAAATGACAAAGAAACACCCTTTACATATCAATGCCATTCTGAGATGGGACATCTGTACTAATTTTAACAGAGCAAATAAAATCAGGAATGTCTCTTTGTCTCATATTATAATGAGTAATTTCACATACTACTTTGGCAACTAGCCAAGCTAAGAGTCCTTCTACTGTTTCTTCGCTGAATCTATATTTTTCTATTAATAATACACTTTCATTATTTTATTGTTCACCTGCTTTGCTTTCTTGAAAAGTCATATAAATGAATCCACATTTGTACTGTATTGTGTGCTTCAGTGCATTTCTTGGTTGTCCCCAATAAAAATTTTCAGTCAATACTTTTTTCCAACTAATAAAGTAAAATAAATCCTCTTCAGATATGTATCTTTTGATGCTTTTGCACTGTATCTTTTTAATAATGCCATACTACTGCAGATGGTAGGAAGTAAATAAATGGTTATTTCTCTCTAAAATGAAACCATACTAGAGGACAACCTATGAACAAATTGAATGTGAAAGCAAATTTAGTGGGTCTGTCTCCATCTCAGAAGAAATGGCATACTGGGATATCCTTACTCCTATTCTGTAGGACTGTGCAAAAGGGAGTAATTTCTGACAAATCCATCCATTCATAATCTACCTTTATTTGTGAAAAGATTTTAGTAATTAACAATATGATTAATGAGCTTGAAATACAAAAATATATCAATGTAAATGCAAATAATGACAAACCAAATTTTCACTCTTTATTCCTATTATAGAAGTCCATTTTGTACAAAGAATAAAGTGTTTTAAGTAGGGTTTCTGACAATCTGCTGAGTATTCATTGGCATCACAACCTCATAAATTGTAAGTGGTCTGGGTCTCTGAAATTCAGACTATTTTTAATTTGGTGCTCAAAGGTGAGTTTAAAAATGCTGTCCATGATAGAATGATCCATTTGAGGTCTATCTCGTGGTTGGCAAAAAGAAAAGCTGCTGTTATTCCTGATGGAGCATCTACAAACTAACAAATCAGTCTATTTAAGCCATAACTTGCAAGTCAGTCTTGCAAGATGGATTACTGTAAGGTCCTCACTGTCAATGAAAATCTAAATGTTGCCAATGACATCTGGTCATCAGTTGGTCTGGGTCTCTGAAATTCAGACTATTTTTAATTTGGTGCTCAAAGGTGGGTCGTCCTGCACAATGCCCTGTGCCAGTGTTATCCATATGAGAAACTGAAAATGAAACAAACAAACAAAGAAAAACCCTAGTGGTTTTGTTTATTGGTTTTTGGTTTTGTTTTTTTTAAACTGATCCAGTTCAGGTGGATATGTCCAAAACATTTCTTAAGAATTAAATCCCTGTCAC